GGAGTGGGAGTGGAAGTGGGAGTGGGAGAGGGAGTGGGAGTGGTAGGAGAAGGCGTAGGAGTAGGAGTAGGAGTTGTAGGCGTCGTCGTAGTGCTGCTATGACTGAAGTTACACTACTACTACTACTACGACGACGACGACGACTACTACTACTACTACTACTACTCTTACTAACTACTACTAGTACTACTACTACTACTACTACTACTACTGCTGCAACTACTGCTGCTACTGCTACTTATACTCACTACTTAATACTTAATACTGCAACTGCTGCTACTACTGCACCACTGCTGCTACTGCCACTGCTGCTACTGCTGCTACTGCTACTGCTGCTGCTGCTGCTCTTACTAGCTGTTACTACTGCTGCTGCGGCCACTGCTTCTGCTAGCACCACTCCTGCTGTCACTGCTGCTGCCACTGCTACAGGCTATTCGCTACTGCTACAGCTAGAGCTACAGCTCCAGGTCCTGGTCCTGTTATTGCTGCTACTGCAATTGCCGCCGCTCCTCGTCCTGCCCTCTTCCGACGACGACTACCAACCGCCAAACCACTACCACTACCCCAACCGCTACCACTACCGCTACCAATGCCACTACACTACTACTACCATTACTACTGCTCCTACTTCAAAAAGCAAACGCAACACGTACACACAGAGAAGCGTCACAGAGTGCTTCCTTGCCCAGGCTTAGCCGACAATGCGGTGTTGCAACATTTCCGCGATGGGCCTGGTGTCCAGGACTTCTGAAGTACCACTGAATTAACATAATATAATGATGAGCTGGGCAGTGGCAGCGAAAATTGAAGATTCTTTCGCAAGATAGATACTGAGTTGTTTGTGAGAGCTAGAGACGAGGGTGGCAAGCAATGTACAGGGAACATGAGCACGTTGACCGCAGATGTGCAACCGCACAGACACATGAGTGACATGTTCTTCGTTTCCGGGTTTTTTGTATGGCACATGATTGAACCTTTCTAGCTTGTCCATGGTGTTTGGTTTCCAAGGATCCATCACAAATCCTCAACGGATCGAAGACAATTCGCCTCACAAGGTGCTACATGACTTGCTCAAGACTTCGCGCCACAGATTTTGACCGGAAGTGGCACATTCACCCTCAATTACACTCGACCTTGGCCGGTGCGGCATTCGTCTCGTCCTCGCAGTGCCGCGCTGTCCCAAGTCACAAGTAGCCTTCATCTAAGATCTGGACTTCCCTTCTTATGCGGGGTCCCTAGACTCGAGAGCCTAAGAATGCAAGCAAAGGACTTCAGACCAGAGCTCGACCCAGAGCCGACGCTGGCTGACTTTCTACAGCTACTCCGTGAAGCTGGCAGGAGTGTCGCAGTAGATGCAACACAGGATAAACAGCTTGTTCTGCTCTAGCATCCCCTTTTGTGTCATCGTCTCATCATCGTGCTGACGATCATCAATGCAACGATGGCATGCCGAACTGCTGCCGAGCTGAGCAGGCAGACTTTGGAAGCCGCGGCTGGTGTGGCCAGGACACCGTGTGCACAAATCCGTGCATGGATGAAAGCCTGTTGAAACGAAACTCTCGCGCTGACCGGGAGGTGTGAGTGAGAACCTTTCAGCCAATCTTCAATTCAAGAACTTTCAACATTTCTAAACTGCGTAGCTCTTGGAGTTCAATAGTCAGGACGTGGCGCTCCGAGGCATGACGTTCAAAATGAACACGGCACTGGACGCACAAGTCCTCTCAGGGCTGCACAGCGTGACTGTCCACGGCCATAAAAAGGCAGAGGCATCAGTGAAAGCGCCCGAACTAAGCCGTAGATGGTGCGTCTTGAAAGTGGGTGGCTGCCTTAGAGGTGACCCGAAATACTGCCCAGATGCACTGGTCAAGGCCCAAAGTGGCACTCCACAGAGCTCCACGACCGCGAGCAGACGTGAGCTTAGCCATCTTCACCTTAGGGTGAAGGGCGGTGCCCGCAATATTTGTCATGATGCTGAGCCTATTTTCGGGCATCCCCAGGCTTTTCCCAAAGGTCGCCGACAGCACTAGAGCAGCAGCCTCAGAGGACCTTCACAAACACAGGCTCTTTAGCGCTGGTCGTCACCGGGCAGGTCGAAACAGACACTGCAGGAGGACGCGGGTTGGGGCTTTCGGCAGTTGCGAGGGGGCAGAGTCACGGGAGCCCTGTGGGTCATGCACATGCTTTCTGGGACCAGTGCATGCACACGTGTCTGCATTGAACCGGGTGGCTCAGCAAGCCGTGGCAAAAAGCGGTAGGATTGTGCCTTCGGTTGGGTACGGCCTAGTGTTTCCCATGTATGCTCGACGCAAGCAACCCGACCTGGCGGCAGCGCACCTTGACGTTTGGATGTCCGTCACTTAGTCTTAAGTTCCGCTTGCCATGCCTGGGTCCGGGATGTCCCAGAGCCCTCAAAGCCACGACAGAGCAGCGAGGGCCAGGAGCTTGGCCGGTGCACTGACGCTGTGCACATTTGGTGGGCTTGGATGCTTTCTTTGGGCCGGCGCTACATCACAGCTAGCTGGGACCACAAAGTGGTCATACCGCCAGCAGACGCATCCGAATCTGGTGCGTCGAGTTGTGGCAGCCCCCCCTGCTGAAACTGCCCCTCCTTCAGTGTCGGAGCCTCCAGCACACAGCACCCGTGGTCAATGGCTGGAGTGCTTGATACAGCACGAACTGCAGAGTAAGGCGAGCAGGAAGCACGCCGAGGTGTGGGTGCTTCGACGCGGCCATATCAACTTCTTCCGCAGGTTTCTTACACTTCGTGGCTTTCATGCCTGGAGCTCCAAGTCAGAACTAAAGTGCCGGGAGCGCGGCATGGACTCCGACATGCGATGCGTGGAGTGCACTCGCCTGCTGCACGGTGGGTTCTATGGTCATATGGGCGTCGCAGTTCCGGCACATCCGCCTCAAAGGGCTGTCTTGGGCTGCTTAGGCTTGTCCAAGGCAAGAGTTGACCGAACCAGCACTGCCTCGATGCATTAAGACATTCTGACCGTTTCTGACCTTTCCCACCCTGTGAGGTGCTCAATGTGACGAGCGACTTGGTGCTAACATGAAGCTTCGTGGTCCTCGTCATGAGTTGGTTGCACCTCTGTGTGTGTGGGGCTCAGGTGACCCTGCTGATGACCAGACCGGTGGCTCATGGGATGCGAATCCCACGCGCCAGTTTTCCTTCTGCAACACCATGCGCGTCAAATATGACGATGCCTGAACTGTTTAACAGAGAGAGCGAACGAATTATCTCGCGTAGTTATCGAACAAGGCACTTAGACTTAGGGTTTCCACTCTGCTGAGTCACAGAGTCCGTAGTTGGCTGTTGTTTTGTAATGTCTTGGCCCAAGACGGCTCGTGGCCAAGCCCAGATGCGCGCCCCTGCCATGGTCGCAGCCTCCTGGCACTGGAGACCTGCTCGAGAATCGGGCAGGCGGGGTATGGCGGTGTGTGTGTGTGTGCGCGCCACCAGAAATTTGTGATTAGTGAACGCGGCCCATCACATAGAGGCACGCTCAATATGAAGCATTGAGAGTAGCAATCCTAACGGGTCGCTGGATTCTTCATTTTGGGGTTATACCTGCATTTCGAGCAGTGGCATGGTGCCAAGGCAAGGATCTCGAAAGCATCTTCAGGTCGCTATACTTGCCCCTTCAATGGCATGGGCTCAGCCTTGAATAACCACCGCAAAATTGCGAGTGTTGCATTTGCCGGGCAGAAAAGATTGCCAAGCAATCTTGGTCATCTGGCGCCACTTGCCCCACTTGCCCTCCGACTATTGACCTTTTGGAGACCAAGATTGCAAGTTTGCTGGCAGTCTTGCTCTCCTTGCCCCACTTGCCCCACTTTTTACCTTTTGGAGACCAAGATTGCAAGATTGCTCGGCAATCTTGCTCCCCTTGTAATCTTGGCCGAAAAGGCAAACTAGTCGGCGAGACCAAGATTGCAAGATTGCTTGGCAATCTTGCTCAAATAATTGTTCTAAATTCCCGGCACACTGGAACACCACTATTGCGGACCAAGCAAGAGTCACGGAAAGAATACATAGCACAAGTGTGACCATCTAAGCGTCGGTGTGTGTGTGTGTGCTTTTGTGTGTGTGTGCTTTTGTGTGTGTGTGTGCGTGTGCGACTACGGGAAATGGGCATTTCGATGCGAAGCAGCAGTGGGCACACGACATGCTCTTGCACGCCGTCAGGTAGTCAGAGAGCGGATGACCACAGGCCCCGGAGACTTCAGACGCAAGTGATCACATGAACAAAGTCACATGAACAAAGACAGTAGGCTGGATGTTAGGGATTCTCGTTGCATTTCTTGTCGTTGCAGGTCAGGAAAGGCAAAATTAGTCAGCATGCCCTGCAGTGGGAGTACCCTGTCCAATGGACGCATTGCATCCTGGTAGCAGCCTGGCTCTGAGCAAGCTCCGCCTGCCGGACAAGTGCCCGCACCACGCTTTCTGCTGATCAGCCAGCCCCCCGATTTCTGCGAGCAACCTTCTGCATCTTGCAAGTCTTCGCGCAGCTTAGCGAGTTGCGGCTGCAGGTTGTGTCCATCTGCGCCCCCATGGGTGGCTACGGCAAAGCAAGCGGGACCCCAGCCAGCAAGACCATGGCTCTGGATGGGGTGTCTGTCTGTCCCTCTCTCTCTCTATCTGTCTGTCTCTCTCTTTCTCTCTCGTCGTCTCTCTTGCACCGTGTGGTGGTTCCGCACAGGAAGGGTGGCAAGGGCATGAAGGGCATGAAGGGTGGCAAGGGAAAAGGAAAGGCACGGTGGATAGAATAAAGTTTTCACTTGTTGAAGGCTTGATGCTGGCTGCGTTGCCGCAGCAATGCAGCATGAGCAGCCAGAAGCTCCGTCACAGGCACCAATCGATGATTGGGAAGACTTCCCCCCTATGCCGAAGGGCAAAGGCCAGCTGCTTGTAGGTTCGACTCTGCATCTTCCCGCGAGTGCATGTGCAGGCAAGGGAAAGGGAAAGATGGAACCCAAGGGAAAAGGGAAAGGCTCCATGAAGGGAAAGGGCTGCGACCTCAGCTAACTCACAGCTGCCTTTATCTGCTTCTTGCTGCCTGGGCGTGAAAGGCAAGGGAAAGCCGTCCTGGGACGACTATGACTACGAGCCCCCAATGATGAGCAAATCGAAGGGCAAGGGCAAGGCATTTCGGGATCCACAGTGCAGGGGTCCGCAAGCTGGCTTTGGTAATTACTGTAGCAATGGATATTAGTCGGTTGCTTCGGATCACGGACTGTGTAATCTCGTCCTTCAACTGGAGAAGGTGCAAGGTGAGATGTTTGTCCAATGCGCATGCGCACTGTATGACTGTGAACTGCACTTCGACTGCATTAATTGTGGCTTTGGTGTTGGGGAGTTGCCTGGAAAGCGATGGAAAGTTTTGTTTAGAAGGCATGTCATTGGCATGGCAATCGATGCCGCGTGTTCTCGAACAGAAATAGGTCCGGGAAGCGGAGGTTCAAAATGCATCGGAACCGCCTTCAGCCGGCAACGGCTTATGAGTCCTACTTCCAAAGGGTCGCCTCCGCAGTGGCGGTTCCTCGTTGCCCAGCGAGATGTACAACTTGGGTGTTTGGTCCCTTGTTTCCCCAAACTGTGTGCACTTTGGGCGTCTCAGAAAGAAGATTGGCCAAGCTCAATTAGATGGGTGCTGCGGCCAGGGTCCCTTCATGAAGTCCTGAGCTCCCTGGTCTTCTTCATGAACTGTGGCTGTCTGGCTTCTCTTCATGAACCCCCAAATCAAAACACAGACAGGACATCAGACCCATGCCGATCATTTATGTAGCCCTATTTAGGCTGCCGGCATCCGAAATGTAAGTGCTGCGGCTCAGTGGTTTGAGTGCCTTTAGTCATTGGAGAGCGTCTCGGGGCTTCGCGCTTTGGGGGCTACTTGGGCTGCTTTCTGAAAATCGTTTCTGCGGTGCTCCAGGTTCTCTGATGATGGTGGTTGGTGTCCGTTTGTGTAGCATAGATTCTCTACTGTTGCTGAGGTAGTTTTCTGAAAGAGGATGGCGACGTTTCGCGCTTTTGGTGGGTGGCCAGCCAATGCCGGGCTTTTCCATTATTGTCTCCCTGTGCCCCCCTTCATTTGGGACATGTTGGGACCGGTGGGGTGGCCGAAGAGTTTTCAATGCGTGTCTCCCGCTGCCTTCCGTAGTTGTTGGGACCCGCAGGCATGGCAATGTCGGTGTTTTCTACGCTTGTCTCCCTTTGTCTCGCCGTGTCTTACTCTATCCAGCAAGCTGTTTAACGCGGGGTTCTTGAAAGAGAATGCCGACGTTTTGCGCTTGTCGATTCCGATGTGGCTGGCCAACGTGGAGTTTTAGACGCTTGCCTCCTCTCATTTCCCTTCATTTGGGACCGGTGGGGGTAGCCAATGCTGACGCTTGTCTCGACTCCTTTGGGAACCCCGGGTTGGTCAGTGCCGGTGCTTTCAATGCTTGTCACCGCTTTGTCATCCCTTATTTCTTTTAGTTTGCTGTAGGGTGGAGGTTCCTGCGACTCCTCCAAGCCTGTTGCCGTAGCGGTTCTTGTTTGGTTCCTGACACACACGAGAATGCCAACGTGTTGTGTGTCGTGGATGGGTTGCCAGTCCCCCTTGATGCAGGCTCTTGGAGGCAGGGATTACTCCGGTTTGGTTGTAACTGTTTGGGGTCCCTGGTGATGTAATTCTGTGGTAGGCGTAGGCGGCGAAGGGATGCAAGCTTGAGGCGGATGCCTCCTGCCAGGTTGATCCACCCTCCCAGACATGCATTGTGATGGCCTGGGGGTGCACTCGAAAACTTTGCATGCTCGTCAAACATGACACATGTTCCAGCTTGACACATGCGTGTACACCACAGCGAGCAAACATTTCTTGATTCTCGCATGCTTGAGGATGCTTGTTGATGCGCTGTAGGAAGGCTGTGCCTGTATTTGTAAGCTGCTAGAACGCCAGCACCACTTCCAGGTTGGAAAATGCATCCAAATGGGAAATGCCATTGCAAACACAGCCATTCTCATCACATGTTCCTACAGCATCGACTCCAGGTTGGCTGATGTCCATTGTCATTTGCACTTGTAGCGGGCCAGGCCTACGATTACGACGAGTACTGGCCAGCACCTGCTCCGGCCAAGGTGGAATGCACATCTCTAGGGTTCTTCGAAGGTGCGACCCATGCCTGTGACTTCTGAATCTGCGAGGGCAAAGGAAAGGGAAAAGGAAAAGGCTGGTCCGACTACCCAGAGCCCAAGGGCAAGGGTAAGGGCAAGGCGCGAAGCATGTCCCGTTCTCTTCCATTCGGCTGCAAAAAACCGCTAGAACCCGGAGGCCAAGGGAAAAGACATGGACATGAAAGGAAAAGGCAAAGGCAAAGGCAAAGGCGGGAACGATTGATGCGACGATCAGTGAAGAGGATGTTCCTCACAGCACCTTCTGTGCTTGCAGGGTATCGAGAGCCGTTCTCGGGAGGAAAGCCCATGATGTATGAGTATGAGGAGGATTACATGCCCATGAAAGGAAAGGGCAAGGGTAAAGGCCTGGTTGGTTGGCATTTTCAGGCTATGTTCGAGTCGCTTTTCTTTGTCGGATCCGTCGCAGGAAAGGCCAAAGGCAAAGGCAAGATGGCCATGGACATGGAGCCGCCTAGCAAAGGAAAGGCAAAGGGCAAGGGCAAGAAGGGCAAGGCGGGAGAATGCGGGAGAGTCTAGTTCGTGTATGTGGTTTTGCTGTGTTTTTGTTTCTTTTGCTGTGTGTTTTTTTGTGATCAGGCCCCGCCAACGGAAGAGCCCAAGAAGGGCAAAGGCAAAGCCAAGGGCAAAGGAAAAGAACCCCCAAAAGGAAAAGGAAAGGGAAAGGGCAAGGGAAAGGGCAAGGGCAAGCGCCGCCTGCCTGCAAGTTACTTGTGCCACACTTGCTGCATCAGCATCTCGGCTTCGAACTGCGACAGCGAAAGGTTGAAGCGTTTGCCCGACAGTGGAGATATGTGGCATCTACGAACAACTGCACTGCAAGTGCGTACAGCACCTTGCTTGCAAATCTGCTTGTTGGGAAGAGTCCGCGAAGAGCAAAATTGCCTCCGATGCGGTGGCAGGCAACTACTAACGTTACCAATGCAGTCGCTAGATTCACAGGTCTGACGGTCTAGTAGTCGACTCAACAGCCTGGCCTCGCATGTTCGCTGCCTCTAGTAACTATTAGGTGGCATGAGCTGATGCTTCCGGCTTGCTGTCTCACATGCACTGTTTCGCTTTGCGTGCTTTTTAGTCTCTCTCTCTCTCTCTCTCTCTCTTCTCTTCTCTTCTCTTCTCTTCTCTTCTCTTCTCTTCTCTTCTCTTCTCTTCTCTTCTCTTCTCTTCTCTTCTCTTCTCTTCTCTTCTCTTGTCTCTGGAACGATCTCTTGAGTGGCAGCCGAGGAGTTCAGGGGATCATCTCAGTTACACACCGATGTGAAGCATGCGGTGAAATCCTTGAGCCCAACCATTGCCTGCAGTCAGCCTCCTGGCAGTGAAGGGGCCTGCAAAAACCCGACGGATGCCTTTCCTGTGCTTTTCTGTGGAGTCGCTGAACGCGCGAAACAAACGACGCCCCGAGCGTGGCTCCAAGAGATCCGCCCCCTCGGGTGCACCATGCATGCTGAAGCCTGTAGCTTGGTAAGGACAGAACAGAACTTTCAAGTAGGCTGCAGTGCCACCCCGTTAGAAGATTGCCATGGACCTCAGTGAAGGCCTAGCTGCTCTACAGCTCGAACTGGACAAGGAGCAGCAAGAGCTCCTCGCGCTAGTGGAGGAAACTCACTTCGCCTGGGAACAGAAGCTGCGCCTCTCCTTCTCACGGCTCCGCGTAGTTTCGAAGGCGGAATCGTCGGAGTCGTTGCTTTTGGGCAATGAATCCAAAGATGCGTCATTGCCCCAGCAGCATGCACAGAGCCTGAGCTTGCAAGTGGGTCAGGCAACAGCACAGCCGCAGGCTTCAGAAGTTGATCCACTGCCCGTGATAGCTCACGAACTGTTGGAAGTCTTGATCAACTCACCACAAGGCAGTGGCAGTGTGGACCTAACGGGCTCGCCGAAGTCGGCTGTGCCACCGCCCCCAAGCACACAGAGTGGGAAAGCCCTGGCTCCGGCCATGTCGGCCGTGGATTTCCGAATAACAGAAAGATCAGGCGTGAGTGGCATTGTCTGGATGCGCATGAAGGTCAAGATGTACATTGACTATGTGGCTGGGATCCTGGTGCTTCTAAACACCTTGCTTATGTTGGTGGAGCTGGAGCTGGAAGGGAGGCATACGGGCCACCGGCTTGGTATGGCCGGAGGCCTCGCTTTTGAAGAAGCTGAACCTGTGTTCAGATTTTTGGACGCCCTTTTCGTCTATATCTACTTGGTGGAGCTGTTTGTTAGGGTCTGGATCACGTGGCCAGACTTCCATCGATCCTTTGCGAACTGGTTCGACACGCTGCTGGTCCTCTCCGGTTTGGCTCCTGGGCAGCCATCCACGCTCGTGAAATCATGGCTTGTGTTTGGTCTCTGTTCTGGTCGTGTCAGTTCCAATGTCGAGTGTCAAGAGGGCTCGTGGGTGCAAGCTCCGGGTGTGTTGCTGCCGTTGAAGATAGACTCCAGATAGACCTCAAATTGCTACTTCTCGGTTGACCCTCATACTGGGGTGAGTTTGGAGAAACTCTTCATGTACAACTGAGCAAACTCACCACGTACTGTGAGTGGTGCCTGAGACGTTCAGGTGGTGGAAGGCTTGGTGACGATGCTGATGCTGCTGTTGATGATGATGATGATGATGAGACCACACTGATCATGAAGTCGATGGTGCAGACGACGAGGGCGACTTCCGTGGTCATGCTGCTGACCCCGACAGGGATGCTGATGGTGAGGATTCTCTGCTTGCGCCTCTTAGGCGCTCATGGCTCTCAGGATTTGATTTTTTCAGTTTGCAGCAAGCGAGGTGGATGTCTACATCATCGTTCCTCTCGCACAGGGCCAGAGTGGTGGCTTGAGAAACATTGCCTCTAGACGCAATAGCAGCATGCCAGGCAAGACTGAGGCTTGAGGCGCGGTGCTTCGCTTGCCTAGCCGTGCTCGTGCTCGCGAGTATTCCCGCGTCAAGGCGATGCTGCGCTTATTCCGGGCTGCAAAGTCATTGAGGTCCATGCGGATGGCGCCCAGCCTGTCATAAACTCGGAACTTCGGGTCCAGCTTGCCGCTGTTTCCTGGCCGTCTCCGGATAGGATAGTCGCCAGCTGTCAACGTCATTTCCTTATCTTAATCAGGTACGCACATTTCGGCTTTTTCAAGGACTGCGCTTACTGGTCCAAGCATGCGGGAGCCTCAGCAGAGTCTTTCTGTGAGCTGTTGATAGAAGCAGGGTTGCTCAGGCACATCCTTCCTGCCTTCGCTGGGCTGGTCTATGGCCCTTCCGTCAGTCTAGAGATGTGAGAGAGAACAAGTCGGAAGGTGCCTCTCCGTGCAAGGTGCTGCTTGGCGTCTTCATGATGATGGGGGCCTTGATAATGGGAGTCTTGTCTGAGCTGGTCCGTGACATCACCTGAACCATTGAGTGTTCCTGTAGCTCGACCCCAGGCCCACACATGCTTGGGGGTGATTGCGACTAAATTCACGAGGCATTTATTACCCTGTTGATGCGACAGCATGGAACTGGGTAACAGGATGTTCGCACGAGCTGAGGGAATCTTCTTCAAGACTGGATCATGGATGCATCCATAGAGCTTGAAGACAGGCATCTGATGCACTCCTGCAAGCAGACAGTGCTTGTTAACCAGCAGATCTTGAGTCGACCGTTTCGTCACCTGCAGGCGCTGGCTCTGGTTGCACTATGGCACCTCGTGGCAGTCACTCTATACCCTGTACGAAATAACTTTCGCGGGGAGCCTTGCTTTCGAAAGCCACTCCGTGGTGAAATCTCGCAGCCTGCCCCCTAGACCACATCACATGCTCCCGACATCTAGCCGAACAGAGGCCGTCCTCCCCTGCATATCAGACCCACACAACAGCAAGGGCTATGCTCAGCGATATTCCGAGTTGTTCAGGGTCTTGCTGTTGAAGCCTTTTGCAACTTGGGCGGTGCCATAGTTCGATTGGAGAGATTTGCGGGTTTTGTGTTCCTCTAGTAGCTGTTCAGAAGCCGGCGGCCATGCATCGTTATCCGGTGTCGGGCTACTGCAAAGCAAGGGAAGGATGTGAATTTCAGGGAATGACCGTGCACGAAGATGTGGGTATCCTTATTCTTTACGACTTGAGCTCTATGCCGCGACCTTCAAGTCTCCACGTTATAAGTTATAAGCATGTATGTTCTTAGTTAGTTTGAGTTGTGTATGTATATATGTACACATGCTTACAGCAGTTAGAGAGATTCAGGTAGATGCGTCATAGAGAAGCAAGCATGCATCCAAGCAATTTAGCACTTAGCACATCTACCCTTAATGAGGCCAGCAAAGCAAGGTACATACATCTACGCCGACAAGCGCGCACAAACAGATATGTGTGTGTGTGTATATATATATGGTCCCCCCCAAGATCTACGCTTGCAGGCTTCATAGCATCTCATGCTTACTTACACATGCATGTACACTAGTCATAAGTGTAGAAACCACCCTAAATATCGATATTATCGCTTGTATCCTCGAATACATACAACCGTGCTGTGACGCATCTTGTGTCGACACATCGACAAATCTGCGGCCAAATTTCGGCCAACAAAAATAGCACTTCATGTATTCGGAAAGCCGAAGCTGTCAGAAAGTATTGCGCGTCATTTGCTGTGGTATTCAAAGACCTCGTGTTTTTGCATTTTGTCGGTTGTGAAAGAATTGTAACCGTACATCACGGGCACTGTGTATCTCTTTCGGCGGTTGAAGGCTGCGCTCACACATGCTCACACGTCACACTGCTACACCACAAAGACGGTGGGCTCCTCCTGATTTTCCTTATTTAAATC